AAAAATTGTAAACTAATGGAGTTGATGAAAAACATAAAACTTTCAATTTGAGGGGGGGGGGGATTAATAGAAACAACTGGTTTCCTTGCAGATTAGAAGTAGAAGGTTTTTACATCATATTCTAACAACTACTACAAGGAACTACTACAAGGGAACTACTACAAGGGGGGTCGTGGTGTGCATTAGATATGACCGTAACAATGCCTCCTCAGATAATACGAAGGCACTTGAGTGTATATTATTTGTATGAGACTTGAAACAATGTTACATTAGATAGTACTTGATTGTCCTATATCTACAGCACAATGCTGATTTACCCATTTACAGTATTATTAGTTTATTGAAAAGTAAAGACAAACATTTACAAGTGTTTTCTTAACTATTAATGTTTGTTGTAGAACGTGTCATTATTTCTTCAGTATTCTATTCTATTCTTCAGTATTCAGTATTCAGTAGCTAAATTTAGGATAGCAATGTTTCTTTTAAATGTTATTGTAACTTGTGCAGTTTGTGTAATTTAAAATGCTGCATAAAACATGTTATTCATGTCTATGAACGTACTGTATGAATAAAACCTAAGATTTGAACTCTAGGTACTATATGAACAGAACGAAAGGTTTAAGCTAGGTAATCAATCCCATGTATACTAGATAATGAATGGCTTAATCCAGTGGTCTGCTGATATTATAGCATTCTGATTCTGGATTAAATTTCCTATATTAGGCCGTAGAGTTGCACAAAATACACAATCGACGATCCAAGTTATCCAACAGGTAGGAGAATACTGGATTTAAATCCAAATATAAATCAGCAATGAAAAGTCAAACAATCCCGTAATGTCCAATAATCCACGTAATCAATGTTTAATCAGCAGCCAATGGCTGAGCGGTTCCAATAATAACGTGACTCAACACACTTTTCAATTATCCCTCTGAATGTCCAACTTCGCTCCCTTGTGTTACGTCATTATTTTCTATAATTAATTATATTAAAGGAGAAATAATTGCTGAAAAAATGATTATTTTAATTGCAACTTAATTAGGGAAAAAATCATTATGTGATGTTACAAATCGAATAATAGTAATCCAATTGATATTTTACGCAAAAGTATTTCTGCGGGCAGCCAATCCCAATGATACTTCTAGTTACTAATAAATAACCTTAGTCAGTAAGCTGGACGATGTGACTCCGGCAATTGCCAGATCCAGACCGACACACGCAGTAAGCCGCAAGATTAACTATCTGTATATCTATTAATATAGATGCAAGCATGTTTTTTTTTTAAAACTTTTTTCTCAGCTCGTACACATCGCAGGAAAAATCTACGCATATTGTTAAAAACATATTTTCCTGTTACGTACAGAACCCCTTTGTAAATTAAAATATCCAAAAAATAAGCACAAGAAATTAATTTCAATAAAAAAAAATTACTTGGGACTTATGGGCTGCCATGCTGATAACGAAATATAAACAGAAAAGCGAAACAAATGGAAGAAATTCCTATCACATGTTTTATTTACAGTGTGGAGTGAAAATATAGATGTCTGTTACATATTTTTCGTCGAGCTTTCGACCACTGGACGACCTCAAGTTTATATTGTACCGTAGAAGTAATAGCACAGACAATGGAGTAAACGTTAACATTAAAGTAATTGTCTGTGGTAATAGTATTGATATGTTGGTGATATTTCAACACTTTGTGTAGGAAGCGAATCACAATGCCACCTAAACTAGGCACTACAGTAGTCAGTAATCACAATGCCACCTAAACTAGGCACTATAGTAGTCAGTAATCACAGAGTCAGTAAGCCGGACGATGACTGAGGTAATTGCCAGCACCGACACACGCAGTAAGCCGTTAGATTAATTGCAACATTCCAAACATAGTTTTAAACACTTGATCATTCATAGGCCAAAGGGATTGCACGATGTATCGGTGTTTACAAATAAATAACAAGGTAGTATATGTGTTATTTTCCGAAGCCGACCTTTACTCTTAAAGGAAATATACAAATTGCAGTAATGATAAATCCACGAAATCATGTTAATTGACTAAAGTAGTAATTGTTACATTTGTGTTTTAATTTGTATAATTGTATGTATACCTGAAACAATAATACTCTTGATTTATCCATGGTGAACGTGACTGTAAAAAAGTACCTACAGAAATTCTACATTAAGTCAAAGTCTTCATTTGAAATCGTAGGTGAAATTAAGCAAAAATATAAAATTAGACTACCAAATATTGTTGAAGCTGTGTCGAAAAATGAAGGCATCCTCCTAAGACATTAAAAAAGTGATTTTAATAAGTCGTTGTTACTTTATCAACAACGCAATGGAAATATATTGGAAAAAGGCTATATCACTTATTTAACCTCTATTTAACCCTGTAGAGATAGATTTTTACCAATATTATCATATCCATTCCATGGTCGATATAAAAGAATTGGAGTATAAACATATATTTTAGTACGCAAGAATAAATCCCGGTAGCTATTCCTTTTCCCCAGAACATGGAAAAAACATGTTTCTCTTTGCTGTAAGTACGATGTTTTACTAAAAATCACGTAGATTCCCTAAAAAATATAGTCATTTTTACTTTATTTTAACTTCACATTTAAATTGAAAAGCGAAAAAGACGTCTTCTGAGAATGTTAAATTGTAAATATGTTAAACATTGCATCGCAAGAGAGTAAACATTTCGAGTTCGTTTGATATTTCTTGATAAAGTGAAATATTATGCGTTCCAAGTCGTTGGTAACAAATGACAATTTTACTTGGTCCATCAACTAAATTATTTTTATGAAGACTTAGCCTACTTTTAAGCTTTTAATTATTACAGTTAATTGTGTTCAGATTTAAAATAGAAGTTAAAATTTATTATAAGTATTTATAAACATATTACTTGGATTCACATGAAAGCCCAAATATATGAAAAACCAACGTACAAACAAAGATAAAAACTACCAATTAGGGACACTAAAAACTATAGCAGATTCTATAGGCTACGTACGTGTCGTTGTTTTATCGAAGGAAACGTACAAAACTATGCTTTGTTACTAGAGAGGTCTTGAATGGATATTGCAAAATCTAGGGAGGAAAAGTACTGTTATCATATATAATCAATCAGTATGCACAAACATTTAACTAGGGGTGTGCGAATAGTGATTTTTAGGTTCGAGCCGAGCCGAGCCGAACTTAAGCAAAAAGTTCCGAGCTTCGAGCTTTTTCGAGCCGAACCTTAACCTTCTAAAGTTTGTGGTATATTCCTGTTTTTACGCAAAAATAAAGATACAAAATACATGTAATTGTTTAAACTTACTCAAATAGGGGTTTAATAAGTAAGTATTTTACCAAGTCCCTATATATTCAATGAGTTTGCTTATCCTACTAGGCCTATTTATTAAAGGTTTAATGGGAAATACAAGATAACATTCTTAATAAAAATGCAAATTTATTTTATACAAGTAAATAATATATCAATACAAAACAATAGATTTATCTTGGAAATATAGCCTATTTGAAAATTAACCAAACATTGGAAACTGAGATCAAGTTGATAATGCCAAAACTAGGAGATGAAAAAATAACGGTAACAATAACACATGAATAGATAATGTAACAAATAAAAATCCATACTAAAGATTAGGATACACACTTTACCCTGACACTACATTTTAATTTCCTAAAAAGGAAGTATTTTGTTGAAATTAATACAACTCCTTAAATCATCTTAACAAATTACCTAAATCAACAGCTACCTACTATAAAATAAACAACATAAAACCGAGATCAAAATGAAAATGACTAGGCTATATTATTTAAGGAATATCGATGAAAACAATTAACAGTGTAATAAATAAAAAACTATACAACAAACTGTTGTATGGTATCTTGCATACTCGAAAATGAAACGAACTTTGAAAGTGATATCCAATTAAAAATGCCAAAACTAAGAGATGAAATAATTTTTTTTAATAATAACTGGTAGCAATATTACATAAATAAATAATGTAACCAAAAAGATACACTTCAAAACCCTGCATCAACATTTTACCAGGCAAAAAAAGGCAGTGGTTATTGAAATTATAGGCCTACAAAATGTTAAATCATCTTAAACATTTAATCATAAGATAATACTAGAAAATTAGGAACATGAAACTGAGATCAAGATGAAAATGTTCAGCCCATGTTATTTTAGGCAAGTAATAAAAACATTAACAGCTAAACAAATAAAAAATACATAAGAAACCGTTGTGAATATAAAAATATTTTTAAGCCTACGTACCTACAGTAAATAGATAACTCAACCAGGAAACTACTTCCTTACGCAAAAGATATAGCCTAACTTAGAACTTTAGCATTTTTTATCTGCTATATTAGGCTATATTTCAAATGAGTACTAGGCAGTGCCTTGTTTCAGGTGTGTAAGCCTATTTTGTAAAATTGAATTGGCTATAACTAACCCAAAAGTATGGTAATCGAAAGCCACTTGGCCTATGGTAAAGATAGTTACTGAGATCAAGAGAAAGTTACAGCAGTAAAACATGAACACTCAAAAACTATCTAAATTTAACAAAAATTATTGAATGGATAACATAACCACGCATGTAGAAAATAATTATATTATAGCCTACTATAAAAATATAAATATACCAAACAAACACTCAACATCTTGAATATAAAAATATAACCTAGACCTAAACAGATAACTCAACCTGTAACCAGATAACAACAAAACTAATTGAATGGATAACTTAACCATGTATGTAGAAAATAATTATATTGCACTATAAAAATATAGGCCTACCAAACACTCAACATTTTGTATTTCCAGAGTTCATGAAAAAGTGTGGTTATGTTTATAATGTTTCATGTAACATGAAAATGAACGCCAATGACAATGGCAGTTAGTTAGCTTAGTTAGCGTTTGTACTTTGTATCATAAAATGATATTGATTTGAGATTGTGAGGGTGCATAACCATGACCCAAACGTCCCTTGTGCATTTTCGAAATATCTTAAATATCTATATTATGGTGCAAAAAAACCAATTCACTAATGTGTTCCTGGGTTAAACACCTGCGCCTTTCATTCACCACATTTCCGGCACTCGAGAAGATTCTCTCACTTGCTACTTCAGTGGCAGGAATCCCCAGATAACGCTTTGCAACTGAAGCGATTGGTCCATATAATTGAGAATGCTGTTTCCACCATGAACATGGATTTTCTTGCATTGGTATGCAAGGAGAATTTATGTAGGCCTGGACATGTTGTTTCACTGCATCTTCTTTTGAACTCGGTCTGGTTCTTTGTGAGAGAGACTGGAGGTGACCCCATAATGACATCTCTGGTAGACCCTCTGAAAAGAGTACAGAAGGTTGATACTTGTTATTGTTCAACTTGATAGGTTTTCATGAGTAAAAGTTGTAAAATGCCAATAGGCCTACAACAATAAAGACAATATTGACAAAAAGAAAATGCCCTCTTAAATCCTTCCAAAATTCCCGCCTTTTGGCTAACGCAATAAGAAAACATTTTTTTTTACTCAGTAAACTAATCAAGCTGTTACTACATCCAGTACTCTCATAGAACATTACATTCAGTGTAATTGTCAAAGCCTCAACAAACTCTTGTGTAGAGCATTATAAAATTAATGTTTTCATTTTTTATATAAACTAGTAGGGCAAAGATTTGGCCCTAACTTTATAATTTTAGCCATTCTGCTGACTAAAAATATACTAGGCCTAAATACAACTAGGTCTTACCCTAAAGCTTGTACTGACCTTTTGGACCACCAGAAGTAGAAGAACCTATGGATGCTGGTGGGTTATCTTCAGCGTAGAAACTCATTGCTTCCCTCTCCAATAAGTCAATTGCAAGCTTCTTGTTGATTTCATCTAGGATTAGTGCCTTATACCTCGGATCAACCAGCATTGCCAATTGATAATGTTTGCTAAGTAGATATTCATCTGGCGGAAATCTTGCATTGATTGCCTTGTCAAGGGCCCTAGCGAACATTGTGCCTCTTGCCCCAGATGTAATGAATTGTCTAATGACAGTTCTTATTCCATCAATCAGAGGTAGTACTGTTGATAACGTTGGAAGATAGCCACTGGAAGATAATTTTGTGGCATCATCAAGTGGTTTCAATATATGTATATAGCCTTCAGCCAAGTCCCATTCGGTAGAAGTGAGGTTGTTAGGTTTTATTGATGTCGATAGTTCAGCTGAAATTGCCTGCTTTAGAGTAACAAGACGAGAAAGCATGTTGTATTCAGAATTCCATCTTGTCTCGCAGTCTTGAACAAGTTGGAGGGGAGTTTTGCCTAATTGTTGTTGTAATTTGTTTAGTCTGGTATTTGCGGAAGAACTATGCTTGTAGTGGCTGACAATAGCCCTAGCTTTGGCCAGCATGTGTAGCATACCAGGAACATCTTTTTTAGCATCGCTGAGTGCTAACTGAAGGGTGTGCGCAAAACACCGTATATGCGTCCATGGTGTCATCGACGCTGCACTGACCATATTGGCAGCGTTGTCTGTTACACAAAAAACTGGAATAGTACAATCTGTTCCTTGTTGATGATTCCAATCATTTAGTAATTCCATCAATTTAGAAGAAATATTTACAGCATTATGTTCTTCGGGGAAATGAGAATTACTCAAGCAATAAGATTTTATATTGAAATCTAGATCAACAAAGTGGCCTGTCAGGGAGATAAATGAATCGTTTGCTGCGGATGTCCAGATATCAGAGGTCAGAGATAAGGATTTTAAATCCTGCATTGTATTTTTAAAATCATTTGATATTTTTACTTTTGTCTCTTTGAAAAGATCCGGTATAACACTGCGAGAAAAGGTCGTTCTTGAAGGTATTTGATATCTGGGTTCCACAATACCCATTAGGTTTCTGAAACCATCTTCCTCAACCAAAGTATATGGATGGAAACTTTTGGCCATCCACTTTCCAATTGCCTTGGTTATCAGTTGCGATCTGGGATGGTTGGAAGATAATTTCTCAGTTGTTCTAAAATGCTCATCTATTTTAATTTGCTTAGGGGCTGTAGGCCTAGGCATTTTAGACCTTTTTTGTTCAGCTTTTAAACTTAAAAATCCCTTCTGTTCTGTGTCATATTGTTTATATATGTTAGCATGTTTATTTTCCAAATGTCTTATTATAGACGATGTAGTCCCTGTAGGAGTTTTGAAGGTTTTTTTGCAACTATTACATTTTGCTTCTTTGGAGCTTGTCTTGGTAAAATATTTCCAAATAATGGCCTGACCAACTGGTTGTGTAATACTAGAACTAGGCCTAGGACTAACTGGGTTGATCGCTTCAACAGAAGTACTTGTAGAAGGTCCAGCTGGTGGGTCATCAATGCATTGTTCATCTTCACTATCCATCTTGTAATTTGAACGAAACTCAGTAAACTAAACAAAAGGTCAGGCCTTAAAAACTACAAATACAATCGAAATTAATTAAACTCGCTACGTCCAAACTGTTCTAATTGTACTTTCATTACACGACGTGACTAGAGAAATACACGCACTTACTACATTTTGGGCGAAACTATTTTTGTAACAAACTACTTTATAAAATAACAAATAAATTATAACAATGTTACGACTAGAGAAAGATAAAAAATTTTAAAAGTAAACAAACACTAAACAGAGATAACAGCCAAGAAGTAAAACCAAAAACAATAACAACAAACAACGATTCAGAAACGAAACGGCAACACGCAATATGATTTTTTCACATTCGTGCAGTACAAAGTAAAACCAAATGCAATCTTTAACCATTGATTATAGTACCTTTATAATATAATAAGCGTAACGTCAACAATTATATGATTAAAATCATTGACGAAGCAATTGCTTTATACGAAGTTGGTCAATCATAACGATTTTAATGGAATAAAAAATCCACAAATATTATTATATACTAATATGGTTGTACCGTCAACCAAGCACGAAGGCACTAACGTGCCACCCCGACAATCCGCCACCACACGGAAGAGGTGCCACCACGACAACGTGCACCACATCAACCCGCAACCATTGATTATACTTCTTCCCCAAGATGTATAATCAATGATGCAACCCCAAACTGCTTCTTCTTGTTGGTGGTTGGTTGATGTGGTGTCATCTTGACGCGTTCCCGCTTTGTCAATGCTAATACCACGAATATTAAAACCACGGCCGCCTCTAACTACAGGCCGCGGCCTTCGAACTGGCAACGTCGCAAGTGGTGTTGTAACAGCTGTTTTTGTTTGGAAGCAGCTAATGGTATTTGTGTATTTACGAACGAATGGTTACTGGACTATGACATTATTGACTCCGCTTAAAAATCTACAGATAAATTCATATTGTTTCGGTTTTCAATTTTGTATGTTTTATTTTCAATATTTTAATAAATTTATATTAATAAATTTAAATCAATAAAGTGCGATTTAATGAGCTAATGTCACATGTCTGCCATGTTATCTTATCGGACGTCTGTCACTGAACAACACCACTTGCGATGTGTTGCCAATTCGACCAGACCGCGGCCTGTAGTTAAAGGCGGCCGTGATTAAAACAGACACGGTATTGTTCATAAACATAAACAAATGTGTTACTGGCTGGAAAGTGCAAATTTAAAATAGCTTAAAATGATTTGTCCAAACCATGTTGTTATTAGCACTCGATCCGGACCATTTACGTCATTTGTTTACATTGTCGATTTTATAACAAAGTCGCCGTTCCAGTGCTTCTCAATCCAGTATTCTTTCTCACTCAGTCTCAGTTTAGTGTCCAATCCAAACATTGCAGCAAAAATGATGTGCAGTGTCGACGGCAGTGGCATTGGCTAGTTGATTTAGTCAGCTGATTTCGTCTTGTCATTGCGTAATTCTTTCGTTGGTTGGTTCTTCTGTTCTTCAGTTCAGTTCAGTATTTAATTTACTGAGCAAACATCGTGTAATGATGTAGGCTATGCTTATCGAATTACATATTGACACAATTATGAAACGGAGATTAAATTTAAATGAAAGTTAGTTCCTTATTTCCTATTTTAAGTTTTATTTGCTAGTTCAAAAAGTATTCGGCTCGAACATTTCGAACTTTTTGAAAATCACGAGCCGAGCCGAATAGGACGCTATTCGGCTCGAAAAAGCTCGATGTTCGAATACTCGCACACCCCTACATTTAACTATAAATAACACCAGAAAAATCCAGAGAGGAAGTTTGTAATGTAAACATATAAAAGTATTTCAAAAAAGTTATTTCTAACTTTTTTTATATCTGGTATAGCTGGTGGATACTAAAAACCCAGAAAATGTTAGTGTAGCTACATGATTAGATTTCCCGAGCTACAGAAGTCTCTCAGCATGACCTATAAAATAAACCTGAACTGCGCTTCCACTAATGGCAGGCTCTCCAATCCCTATTCACTAGCTCATTACTTTATTCCTATTCAGATTCAGGATTGAAAGTAGTGGAAGATCTAGTATATTGAAACGTATTTTACCAAAATTAAGTATAGGGGGCTTTAGGGCTCTATTTAACTCCACGTAGAGAAAGATTTATTTACGTTAGCATATCCGTTTGGTTTCATGGTCGACATCCAAGAATTAGAGTATGAAAGTATATTTTCGTTTGAGCGAATGAAAAGAGGCCAATTCTAAACGATTTTATTTTTTTGAAATATATACTTTTAGGCTTACTTAAACAATTACGTTACAAGATTTCGTCAGTGTGAAAATATATACAACACTTTAAGATACTTCTTCAAAATAAAAGAAATTTCCTAGGAAATTAACTAATAAAACAGTTCTTTACCTTGCAAACCAGAAGCAGCAGGTTTACATAAGGTATTACCAATCACTTAGTCTAATGGTATTCTTCGTGACATTGATTTTAATTTATCTAGCGTTTATCAACTAGTGTGATAGAAATGCACAATTTTCAAAGTGTATCATGAATGATGTGTAGAGCGAGAGTGCCGGCGTTGCCGCCATTTCCGGGAGAGCGGCCTACTCCGGGACGCAAATCAAAGTTGAGCTCATCAAATAATCGTAGTTTGAAACTGTCTATGAATCATTATCTTTCGCACTGCAGTAGATCCCAGGTAGGACATAGCTCATACATCTAGATGTTAACGGTATAGTGTTGTATAAACACAAATAATGTACAGTTTATTCTTAACTTGTTCTTTAATTAAATGTTCATTTAAATATTAACTTTGAGATTTTGTTGCAATTTCGCGTAAATTTAAATAAACAAATATGGCCCGTTTTGATGTCGTTTCACAATATTTGAGACTACTATGACGAAATAGATACTGTATATATTTAACAGTTGGACAGCCAAAATGCCTAGTTGGAGGATCTCGCATTGCCAACTTGTAACGGAAGGTTAGCTCTCGGAGTGGCGGTGATGTCATTGTGTGTGTTGCAAGTCAGCTGTTGCAGTTGCCGGAGTGGTTCACCTTGGTATTGTCTGCAGCTGCTGGTCTGGCTATGGTTGTCAATGCCACTCTGCATGATATACACACGTTATTTCCGCCCGGAGACAAATCTGAAGGGTGAAGGCCCCAACACAGTATTCACAACTATGGATTAAGTACAATAAGCCCATCGACGATTCTTCCAACACAATATGACTAAGTAGCTTTCTCAAAATAGGTAAAACCTTTTTATACGTTATAATCGTTTAGCTGCTCACAAATCCTTTATATGCAAGCTGGGACCTGTTGGGACAGGTTAAGTGAGAGTGGATTACTCATTTCCCCCATAAAGTAATAATTTGTTCTATACATAAACCACTTGAAATAACTATCCTAGCCTAATCCAACTTGGTTTTAAAAGAGTATGAGGCATCAAATGGATTTGAGCTGGA